TTTAAGCACTTTAATTTAAAACTTTTCAAAACAGTTTTAACGCATATGCATTCGGAGTTGTAATTAATTACGCAGATTAGAAAAAAAATGCAATTTACTAAACTTTCACTGAATGTTATTGAACTGAAAATAAACAAACAAAACGCTACATTAGTTAAAATCATTAAAAAATCTAGTAAATCCATATGTTTACTCCTCCCTGTTGAATTGCAAGCAACTCTAAACTTATAAAGCTATTCCTTTGTTTGATACTAAGGACGAGTTCTAACTTGAATTCCTTCTTTCGAAGGTAAGAACAGGTGTGACAGATTCTGTTAAATTTATTTTCTCAAAATTTAATCGAAACTTACAATCAAATAATTCAATATTATTTATAAAAAATAAAATTTTTATCATAGGTAAAAAATACAGTTTTATATTTAACAATAACATGAAATTAATGAAGTGAAAATTTTCTGCAACCACCATGAGGTGTTAAAATAAACTTATTACTAAGATTACAGCAAATTTGAAAAGAGCACCACAATTTTTATCATTATATATATAGTCCTTAATTTACTACTTTTATTTGGTCTTTCCAACAAACCACTTTATATCTAGTCAATAAAAAGACAAAACTTCAAAACTCATGACAATCACATTATCGAAACAATGTAAACTATACTGTTTATATCACTAAACTTTTGGAACATTTTACGCCGAATGAGTAAGTATTTAGATCCAGTGTAATTTGAAATGCCATTTGACATATTGCCGTTACGAAAATATCTTTCCTGATGCGTAAAATAAGTAAGCGTAATCTAAAGACTCTAAAGCTTGTAAGCGCAATTTTAATTCCTTCTAAAGTAGATTTATTTTCTGTGTCATATGAGAAAAGTAAAGCAGTCTATGAATATCACAACAGGATATAAGTCTCTTTAAATTATTAAATACTGATTTTCATAAGGGAAATGAAATTGACATAATCTTAATACTTATCATAAAACTCTTATTGCGAGTTGACGGGAATGGCATGTTACTAGATCTTATGAAATTTCTAAATCAGTTTTAAGATGTATCATAGTTAATTAGTACACAACAGCATCGCAAAATTGATTTTAAAATTGATTTTTTATATTTAAAACGTTACAAAAGGTTTCAATAAGTTCATAAAACGCTAATATTTGTTTTCTAAGGTAATATATATATATTTCTAAATGAATACCATTAAGGGCATTCTCCTAAAATTTCTCTACTAAACAAATAAAAATTTTGTTTCTTTCTTCAGGTATGATTTCTTATGGTAAAAAATGATTTTTTTATCTATTTATCCATTTTATATTAAGAGGAATTAAAAGAAAATATAAAAGAAGAGCAATAAAAAATCCCAAAATAAAACGATCTCCACATTTGTAGCCCCTAAACGTTAATGGTAATTTATAAATGAAATGATTTCATTCATTCCGGGCTTGCCAGTTCTGCACATTTCTCACAAATGTTACTTTTCCATTTTTGTTGCAGCTTGAAATTCTTAAAGAAACAAATAAATATATATTTCATTTCACATTTACATGGAATGTGAAATTATTCTAATGATTGTACTTAAGTAAACAAACCACCTCGAATGATTACTGTACATTTATTTTTTATTAAATAAAAAAAAACAGTAAAATATCTTGATCACGTTTCTACAAGTAACTAAAACTTAATGCATTTTATATATCTGATATTATTATCATGGAATATTTCCTATTTCTTCAAAATATATAATAATGACTGTCAAATAATATTTCACACTCTTTTTATTTTTTTAACTATATAGTGCAGAAAATAAGTAAATAAATTAACGGACCACGCTGGACAACTTTTGATCATATGATCGGATCGTCACATTTTAGGATTCGATCTTCATAGTACGAAGATACACCCTCAAAAATGCTAATTAATGTTCAATCTTTATGGTACGAAGATTACGTACTATTAGTGCAGACGATATTTTGAGTTGCGAAGTCATACACAAAAAATTATTTATCTGAATAAAAAATACTTTTTTTTGATGGATTCGAAATCCTGATCCCCGGAATAAAAGGGGTAGCCAAAATCTGGGATATAGGGTCCTAGTACGAGTAGTTTTTTCAGAAGAGTGATCCGAAGTTTTATCCCTTTAATGTTGATTTAATTTTATTTTAATTTTATTTTTGCGTATTCTTTCATATTTCGTGAACTTTTTAAGTGAATTTAAACACTTTTGCACACATTTATAAAATTATTTATTTATGAATAGTTCGATGCAAAAATTAACTTTTTATAAAAATCTGCTAGTTTTTATTATTTTGTCTAATAATTGTCGAAAAAAGTTTGAATTGTAAAGTATACAATATTTTACATCTTTTTAAGGAATGTAATTTCATACACCAAAATACAAAAACTCTGAGGGAAATCCGTCGAATAGTTCCGGAGATGTCAATCGTAATTTTAAAATTCGATTTTTCAAAAATAATTCTAAATGTTTAAAATCTTTTAATGAGCTCTATCAATGTAGTGTCCGAGTAATTTATTAAATATTAAAAAATATCTCAAACGCTTTGTGAAATACGATATACTTGGTGTTCAATTATTGCAGCATTAGTTTCTCTTCATTTATTCGTATGAGATGGCTGAATCTTAATCTTTATAAGCTGCATCTGTTACGTTATTACAAGGGCACTTTTTTCTCAAAGAGAAAGTCTTCCTACTCTTATGTTACCAAACTGCACAAAAAATGGACTTTTATATGTAGAAAAAACGAATAAGCGAATCGATGAATAATTCAGTGACTCAATGAATGAACTAATTGATGAATCAAGAAATCAATGAAATAAATGATATCAGTAAATATATAATATCAGTAAATAAATGAAAGGTGAATTGTTGATTAAACGAAAAATTTAATCAGTGAGGGTCAACAACTCAATGAAACAGCTCATAAACAATCGAATCAGTCAGTTAAAGAATCACTGATCCGTTTGTTTTTCAGAGATTTTTTCATTATCTGGTTAATTGACCCATTTATGATTTTCTCGCTTTTTTATCAGTCCAGTAAGTAATTTTTAAACCTCTTTTTTTAATTTTTGACAATGCAATTCCTCCATGTGTTAATTAAAAGTTATTTATTTTTGAATTCGTTCATTTGTTGACCTATTTCTTCCCTCATTCAAAGATTTGTTGATTTTCACCACTGTTTTAATCTTGATCCATGATCCACTATTTTCGCTGTAAGATCTCAAAATGAAAAGTAAAAACGCAAAATTATCAATGCTAGTTAACACTTCAGGTTTTCTCGGAAACGATATTGGTTATTTATGATAACATCTATACAGGGCCGTAGTTGCTCATTGGTTAGAGTGTCGGGCTCAGATTCAGCGGGGCCGGGGGTTGATTATCGATTTCGTTAAGAACTACCGGCATACACACGATATACGTGCTCATTAAATCTGTGGAATCAAAAGTCCCATTGTTTGTTGCTCAGCAGTACCACGGGTACAGGGAACTGAAGAAAATTTTCTTCCTTTTCTATCTCTAAATTGAGAAATTGGCGTCAAGAATGAGAGATGCTGCCATCTATCCGTGGAGATCTAAGTCAAGACGTACTTTTACACTTGCGGTGCTATCTTGACAAACCAAAGGCGCACATTCCTGACATAATTTGCAAGGTCAATGGCTGGCTAAGTGTCATTAAAAAACACATATACATAAACTAAATCTTTACTTAAATAAGAATATTTATTGGTAATTTGGCGATAAATCAATGACTAATTGATTTCCTTATTAGAATACATATTTTAAAAAGTGTAGTTCTATTACCAGTAACGATCCTGATTTAAATGCCAGGAACAATCTTAATTTAAATGAATTCGTCATCATCGGGAAATTACACATTAGATATCTGCCCTTTAAGCTTTTTAAAAAGCATGCTCCTTAGATATAATATTGATTAAAGCAAATAAATAAAAATGTTTAGCAAAAACTTGATAAATTGAAATTAAGTCACTTGATTAAAATGTTTATTTTAATACGATTCAAGAGATAGATTAAACATACGCTTTGTAAAAAAATAAATTTCTAAGCACAATCATCGAAATATAGCTTTTTTTTCAATATCTTTCATAACGTAGTTTTTCTAAGGCACAAATAGAGCTAATTTATTTTGGTTTGACAAAATTTTAATGATCAGCCTGAGGCACACAATACAGTTTTAAGTTTCTTCAAAATAACGTGTCAAATTGCCGCCGAAGCATTCTTTTGCTTAATTAAGTGACACCACAAAAAATTAAAACAAATAACATATAAAAATAACCATGTAGATAATTAATGCAGAAAAAAACTGTTAGCTTTTAAGATTATTTATTACCCTAGCAAAATACTTTTAATTTAAATTCACTAAACTAAAAATAATTTGCCTTAATATGTTTAGCTGCTTTACGCCAAATATTTATAATGTTGTGAAAACTTAAAATTTTTTCATGTTAAAAAATAAATGTTACAAACTAATAATAATATTAAAAATATTAATAAGAAATTAATACAAATAATAAAAACAATATTAAAAAAATTAAGAAAAATATTAAAAACAATCTAGTCATATATTTATTGGTGTTTATAAGAGAACAAGGCTTTAAATTAGGAAGAAATGTTTCTTTTTTTCGATTTAGAATACAAGTTTTTGGAATGCCTGGTTTTTTTATTGCATTTAAAACAATTGTTACAAATTTAGTAATATTGTAGTTTATTCATAGATGTTTTTATGTTAAAATTTATTTTACTTAAAAAAGATTTTAAAAAAAGTCTGGAAATTGAAAATAAGTATTTTTTTGGAAACATTAAAGTTCTGAGCATGAAAAAACACCAAACAAAAAATAACTTACAAGATAAACATTTCCTATTTCTCTAATACTCTGCAATTCAATTGCAAAAGCACAAGTCGAAGATTTACCTTTCTATTCCTTAAAAACAGAAAGAAAGTAAAAATTTAATTGACTTACAAAAAGCTCTGCACCTTTACGTTACTTCAAAATTCTTTCAGGAAAAGAATTTAACATCTGAAGATGTAGAAAACTTCTTCGTGTACACGCCTGAAAAAAAAAGATAATTACACCAATTAGTCGATTTAAAATGAAGAATGAAGGAAAAAAAAACCTTATGTTTTAACCCTCTTTTCCCATCAATTGAATTTTTAATTTCGACATCGAAAACAATTGGTTCATGATAAAAAATTAATGACATTTTTTATTTCTTTAATTTTATCTTCAGTGTGCCTATTGCTTCAGCGAGGGTGAATAATAGCTAGTGGTTATTGCTGAATCAGAAAACACTTTGGTTTGTGTTTGTAAAGAACTAAAAAGAAAGGGGCGAATCATTAACTAACCGCATGTCAAACATATCTCTTGTGAAAAAAGAAAACAATGTCTAAACGATATTTTCTTTTTAGATAAGAATATTCTTAAAACTTGTTCCTTTATAAAAACATTGAAAAGAAAAAAGATCTTTTTGATGAATTGAAAACCAGAATTTGCATGTTGAGGTATAATGGTCTAATTAGCTATTTTGTTTATTAATTTGTTTTGCTTTCGTTATCATAATGGTCATTAGAATTTTGAAATTATTTTCATAATAAGAGATTATTCCACAATCGAATATTATTATCGTCAATAGAATTTAGTGCTGTTGAAATATGTTATTGTTTGTTCCCCTATAGATAAAATATACCTTTAAAAGCGAATGAAAAATTATTTTTAAATAACTTAATTTTTAAAAAATAATTCTTTAAAATTCATTGAAAAAATAAACTTGAATTTGCATTTCTGCTCGTTTAAATTTTTTTTAATGTTTTTGAAATGTGTTTTTAAAGAATAAAGTTTTTTTTTAAAAAATTTTAAAAAAAAATTCTTGATAAATTACAAAAAATAATTAAACGTTTTTATAAAAAAAAAATATATTAAAATTTTTGAATCGACCACATTTCAACAATATTTATACGTGATTTAAATTCTCAATCTTTTAAATTTCAAGATGAAGCTCTTCTTATAAAGCACTTAGAATAAAATTAAATTGCTCCCAAGTATCGAAACATAGTTATTAATCCTGATACTAATTTGTAGATCCATGTTCCAATTTTTATAATAGTTTTCTGTTAAAGAAAGTCATTTAATTTTTTTAAAAACTTATGTTAGTTGTTTCACTTTAGAAGAACACTTATATTTTGTAATGTATAAATGATATTAAACATGTGTCGATGCATTTCAGTTCAATAATAATTAGTGTCCAAAATTTCAAATTGGCCAAAATTTAACCATTTTTGCATATTTTTTTGTTTTGATAACTAACTTGCAGAGCTTGCCAATTTAGTTACCAAATCCATAACTTATTCTGAGCCCATATAAAAATAATTTTTGGCAATAATTATTAGAAAGCATGAAATTAAAACAATTATAATAAACAAATATAGCAATTCAAATGGGCAAACAGCAAGTCCGTAATGACAAACTGCTAGCAGGGGCGTATGATGACATTTCCGGCAATGGGTTACTGTATAATTTTCAATCCTTATAAGATGCTTTACCTCCCCTTTTAACTGGTACAAATATAAATATTCTTATTTACTTATTTTTTATTTTAAATGTAGAAAAATAAAGTGAAATCACACTGATAGCCACGAACAGTTCATTGAATATTTTTAGTGCCGTAAGTATCTATATGTACTTGGCCAAACACACACTTACACACATATACAAGGCCTATCATATCTATATGTACTTGGACAATCGGAAAAAACTTAATTAGTTATTTAATTTAAACTTTCAATATATCAAACAATTTTTTAATATAACGCAATAGTTTTGATTCCAAATTTTTGACTATCCTAATATGCATATAATATATTTCTTCAAATCACTAGTTTCAATTTCGACAAATCGAAGACTAAATTATTGAAACCATACTTTCGAGCATATTTTAAGAAACTTCTAACTAATTTAAATCAAGCTTATTTTATCAAGAAAGTATTAATAAACATTTATCGTCAAAGTCATAAGGGATCATAAAATATGCACCAAGAGGTTAAATGGTGTTTCATATAACAATTCTTTTATATCACCTTTACCAAAATCCAACCTTAATACCCCAAGTCAACAATTTGGCGGTTTTAAACTCATCATTTCATGGTTTTAACTTAAGGCTTCAAAGATTTTTTCTCGCATTTGATTATTCGAATTTTTCCATGGCATTACCCCTACTATTCTTTGCTTCTCGAAATTCGACGGCACGGAATATGTATCCATCAAGCTATTATCTACGCAATAATTTTCTCGAAGAAAGTTTGATGCCCCAGCCCTGCCAGTTAAGAGGCATAGAATATTCAATGAGGATAACCAAGCTATTGGACATCATCTGGGGAAGTGATTTCCAGTTATAAATACCTCGTGTGGGTAATGGAAGAGTGTCCCTTCACCCCTTTACTGCTTTCACTCTCTATAGCTATCTCAATTTAAACACGGAAGCAATTCCTATTCTCAGCTCACGCTAATATTTGATGGGACTTTTGGGAATAATATCCAGAGTCAACAATGTATCTAAGTTTTGTGTTAAGATATGAATGGACAAAAAAAGTACTTAGAGTGCTTGATGTATTATACTACTTTAGAGATTTCGTAGATAATGTAACAGACTCAACTGAAAATTTCTATTTTTATTTATTATTTTTTTGCAGTTTAGCATCTCAATAGATTAAGATCGTTAGCTGATAAAGAAAATAAAAATACTGCCAATAAAAATTATTATAGATACGGATATGAATATGGGGAAACAAAAATATAATTTTGTCTCAAGTGCAGTAAAATTGCGGTGGATTACAGAAATGATAGATAATGCAACATATTTAGAATTTTTAGATTTCAATTCTTTCTTTTTTTTAAATTAAAGACCATGGCAGACTAGGGTAGATAGTTTCCAATGAATAAAAAGAAATTTCGATAAATACAACAGCAACTTATTACATAGTTAGATATAACTAAAAGAGAAATATTGTTAAGAGCATAATACAATTAGCATATAATAACCATGCCCTAAACAAACTAAAATTACGCTAGATCAGTACGCAGAGAAAGAAATTCTAATGGAATTATCTTATATTTCAGGTGGAAGAAAAACGTCATAATTATGGAAGCAAAAATCAACATATACAGTACTTAAACCATTCATTTGGATAATTTTTCCATTCCTATGGTAATGGTTCACTGAAAATTCGAATTTAAAAATTTTAGCTCTTATTATCACATATTTAGTAAAGAGCACAAATCTGAAAAGAAAATTTAAACGAATAAAGGGTTTTATGCCATGCGGTAAGGTATGATGAAAATTATCAAATTTAGTCAAATATACCAAATTTTATCACATACTATAAAACCCTATTTTATTATTGATTTTGAGTGATAAATTTATTTATTAATGAAATATTTGCTTTCAAGTTACCTCATGCAAACAAACATAACTTTACTACATAACTACATAACATTAGAGATCCAATATATAATGTAGAAATTTTTTCTGAATATTTCAATTCCAAATTATTATTATTAGGATTTTAAGGATTGGATAGATTGAGATCATTTTATATTAGAGAAAATAAAATTGTAGTTTATAAAAATGATAATATTTGCCTTGTTGCAATATTTTTCATACATTTAGTTTAATTTATTTATAACTTTGTTTATTCTTTTTAAACAAGTTATATTTATAATTACCCTAGCTGCTCCATCCATATCAATTGCTCCATTTTTGGCTAATGCTTTTAACTGTCATGACAAGACGGAAAAAATTAAGCTTATGTACATTCATTTTGTCCCATTATTTCAAAATTTGAAAATAAATAATCTTTATCGAAAATGACTTTTCATGTTTTGTTAAATTTTTTCACGACTATCACCACTTTGTTCTGATCACTATGTACAAATCATTATTACGTTTCGATTATGACTATATACTGAACAAATTTCGATAAATGATAATGATATAGTTACTTATTATTAAATTATCTAATGCAGATACCTCAAAACAAAACAATGAAATTTTAAGTAGAAAATAAAAAAAATTTCCATCTAGCNATATATATACTCTCCCTCTCTCTCTCTCTATATATATATATATATATATTTGGACAAGTGTGAAAATTTTGTGTTGTTTTACTTTAAGTTAAAAAATATGATTTTAATTCATTAAACTTTTGAAAGAACGGTGATATTTTTAAATAAATAGTATTAATTTTCTTTCCTAATATAATTCAAAATCTGAATCCTAACTTTTCCATCCGAAACTTAATACAAACAAATTCAGAAATCCTATGTTTTCATATTTTAATACAGAAATAGTGATTTTAATTCAATGTACCTCAGGTCTAGTTCATTTTTTTCCGCTTATTTTCAAACAATAATGATATTTTTAAAGGAATAGTCCTTTTTCTTTTCTTAATATTATCGAAAATCGGAATCCTAATTTTATTATCCGAATTTTAACAGAATTCTTGTTATGAACAAAGATATTTTAAACAAGTGCAGAAATTCTGTATTTTCATAATTCAAGTAAGAAATTATGATTTTTATTCAATATACCTTAGGTCTAGTTCATTTCTTTTCGTTTTATTTCCACCATTTGGATTTTTTTTAAAAACCAAGCATTGCATTATTCTTGTTTTTAGATAATATTGTTATTTCAGATTTAAAATATATTCTTAAGCTTAAAAACACTTTTTCTTTACATTAATGGGGGTTAAAAATTCGGAAAAGAAACGACGACATTAAATTTGTGTTCTTTTGTGAACCGTTAAAGTAAATCTAAATTAAATGTGTTTAGTGTCTTCTTAAGGATCAGGTACTTATATAAACGAATTAGAATCATTTTCATTAGGAGAACTCGAGAAAAGTAGATAAGATTGTATTCTTTAAGTACAAGATGCATTAACCTAATGCTGATTTGATTGTCAAGCATTTCAAGCAAATGAACCTAATGTATTTAGAAGGAGATCGGGCTATTCTTATAAGAATAATTGCTTTTTTCAATTAAATCGAAATGTTGGAATAGG